CTATCTATGATCTGCGTGAAATTGGAGGTTGATTTAGCCACTTACGCTAGTCTGTCTGTGTACAGGCGTTATTTCCATAAGCATTAAAAAAACAAATGAGGAAAAAGGATGGGTTGTGTCTTCCACCCTTTGGTATGGTGTCTATATAACCATGCCTCCAATATAATATATGTTAAGGATGATCTCGTTTAATTTGTTTAAGAACAAATTGATTTTAGTATAGTATTTCGTAGCAAAATATATTTAAATATGTACGAACGTACACAAGTTATTTCATTTGTGACATTACCATTTTTTAAATAATTAGTTTTTGTTTTAGCCACAAGTTAATCCAAATCAAACTATTAGTTTTGTTAGTTTTAGTTTTGTTGTTACATTTTCCAAATGTAAGCAAAAGCATATCAATTACGATTCAAGACTTCCGTTTGTAATTCTTAACATTTAAACTATGAAATAAAAAGTAAAAAACGTTAAATTCGGTCGGGCCGAGCCTTCAATACCCTACACCGTTAGGTAAAGAAAAAAAAAACATGTTTAATTAAAAGTATCTGGATTCCAATTTAATCTGCAAATGCCAGTGAGATCAATTGCAGAATACTGTTGAAAAATGAGGGAACAAGGACTGTTATAGAAAATGTGACTAGGATCATTAAAATACCGAATATCCATGGTAGCCTTCATATGGAAATCTTCGACCAATATGAACAATGTTTTGACATACGTTGTCCATTATGTCGAAATTAAAACAAATCCGAATGAAAATGTGGCCTAAATTGTAAAAATACCGAATGTCTGCAGGTACTACTATTGTAGTACGTGGAAGGCAATGATATACCTAAGGAGGAAAACACATTACAATCTGTAAATGCCACAACCAAACATATTTCGTAAAAACATGTGGATAAAATGAACAAAAACCTGATATCGGGAGGTACAGCTATATGGGGGCTATACGAAAACGTGAACCGACGTATCCCATTAACAATCCTAGGCACAATCCAAACTATTGAGTAAATTTTAAAGCTCTATGGATATTTTTAGGCATATAAAATGGACCACAACATTTGCGTGAAATTGTTCTTAATACCTATCAGAACGACAGAATCGTCCAAAGCGTATTTTAACCCTTTCCAATGTATTAAAGTGATGTAGGATATCACTTAGCCGGTCCGCCTTTTCAAATTTCAAAATGAAATATTGAATAATAAATGACAATTTTACGTTTTCACACATTTTGGGTAGAAAAATTCTCTGAAATTGATTTTGGCAAATTACTCTTTTGCTAGTTTTATCATTAAACCAGTAAGGGAACAAAACAATTTTTGGACTTAAAATGTGGTTCTGTGAACCAATTAAGAGAAACCATCTACATTACAAATCTCTTGTTTAAGATTTAGCTAAATTTTTCATAATGTCGCGATGTTAAGAAAACTATCTTGCAAAAAATTTCAACGCACCTCCATGAATGTGATACGGGGGGCTGGGTAGGATGTAATATCTCCGGTGCCGTCTGACTAAACATGTACACAATTTAATTTGCCCATTGTTTTTTTTTTTATAAATTTTGTTTTGTAACAACTTTTGACCTCCCAGCGGGTTAATTTGAGCCAATGTAAGTGTCCTTGTAATAGATAATTTCTTTCACGTAACTGATCACGCCCATGGGTTAATTAAGTAAATAACAAATAACTTTTGCGCCAGTGCGAACTTTTTGAACCGTATTTAAATTATCAAACAATAATAATTACAATAATTATATATTACATACACATACAGACATATTCTGGTTGTATTTGGCAAGGACATGTTGGTTGACTTGGTATTGTTGTATTTGCCACATTAAACACATAATAAACATTAACATTTTATTAACATCTCATTACAAAGTTTAACGTTCACAAACATGACTTACTCCTCTTTCGTCTGTCTGGCACACCCTCTAGTAAACACACGCGCACAAACACACACCCACACACAAAAGCGTAGTCGGGAACAATATGAGAAACGCATAGCACGACAACAGGTAACTGCCAACAAAACAGTTCTACAGACGTTTGTTGCACATTTGCTTAAATCAGAGGATATTGTAAAATATGTTCACAACAAAACTTTTAATGAATTCAATTAACATAACGTCAATTGTTGTAAAGTAAGACATAACACATGCTGATGTTATGCCGTCGTAAATGGGGGATTATAAAGTTATGGTGGTGCTAAAAGACAAATGACTTCTTTGAAGTGAAACAATTGGTGGCTTTAATCGTTTTATGTTTTCTGTTTTCATGAACATTGGCCTGTAGTAAGTAGTAATTTTTAAATCCTTAGGAAAGAAAAGGACGAACGGTATTATATGTTCGTCATTCATGATGAACACATATTTATTACAAGTCCTAACACTGTGATAGACAGCTTTCTCTTCTTAAGCGCAGAGGTTTCACAAAAGTTAGCCGTTTTCTTGGATTTTGGACTGCAATACAAAAGGTGTCAATAAAGGAATATGTTCTGCTGTTCTGTACAATGGTAGTATACAGGGTGAGATGAAAAAAAAAACTTGAAACTTCAGGCTGCTGCCATTTCTAGCCACTCGTCCGACAGCTGCTTAAAATTATTCCAGTGACAGCTCATTATATTGTTTACAAGTGTACAAAATTGGCATTTTGGTGAGAATTTTCATGATGAAATTCAAGCGTAATAGTGTGATTTCTTTATTTTGGCTGGAAAACCACAAGTGGAGCACCCCAGCATTTAAATGTGAATAAATCTTTTGTGTCTCGTACCATCGCTCGTTACCGTGATACTGGTAGCGTAGCCCAACATCAAGGAAGTGGACATAAGATAACATCAACATCAGCAGAAATGGTTCCAAAAATTAAGAAGCGACTTGATCGAAACCCGCGTCGTAGTGGTCGAAAACTGGCTCGAGGAATATTCCCTGCGGCAAATATTAGAAAATGAGCTCGGGGTAAAGCCATTGAAATTCCAAAAAGTGCAAGAACTTACACCGCAACAGAAAGAAAATAGACTAAAATGAGCTAAATCTTGACCGAAAGTGGTGAACTGTCGAATTTGGTTTACTCCGATGAGAAAACATTCGTTGTGTAGCAGTTTGTAAACAAACAAAATTATCATGTTTACTTGCCAAAGAGGTCAGCTGAAAACATACACCTTCGGTTGGCCACCAGAACTCAAGCGCCGTGGCATCAGAATAAATGCCGAATATCGCGAATATCGTTATGCGACTTGTGTGTGGTGGAGCGCCGTCTTGTTGAAACCAGAACTGCCTCATACGCTTTCGACGAATAATTGGCATCACAAAATTGGTCATCATGTCGCGATAACGCTCCTGATTGATGGTAACAGCATGGCCATTTTCATTTTGGAAGAAAAACGGCCCAATGACCGTTTTCGCACTAACGCCGCACCAAACTGTGACTTTTTCGTCATGAAGAGGCACCTCTTGAATCTCCTGAGGATTTTCAGTGGCGTAAAAACGGCAATTTTGCTTATTTACGGTCCCATTCAATGTGAAATGGGCTTCATCCATAATTCCAGCCAAAGGTGACCAATTCGAACAAATCTAAACTTATTCTAAAATTTGATGCTATTTCCGACATTTTTTTGCTGTAATTCAATAAAATTTAAAAAAAAAATGTAATAATTATGGCCTTTGTCATTGCTGCAGTTTTTTTTTATTTCACCCTGTATATACCTGTCGGCGAAGCCAATGTTGTTTCTTATAAATTTTAATTGGAATCTTTTCTATCTCATAATAAATCTTTGGAATGCATGAAATTGTTAAAATAATATTATTATTTTTTCGGAAGTTTTATTCTTTGTTGAACATTAATTTCTTTTTTTCAAAACCATCAGAACAAAGGAAACAGTACAGAGTTATAAAAATTAAGAACTCATTTTGTAATTGAAGGCATACTTCAGGCGATCTTATGTAAAATGTCATTTAAAAGAGATGACATCGAAGTAAAAATTATTTTTCATCAATTTTTACTATAGCCACCTAAATGTTTTTCCCTTACATCAATATTTCCATTCTAAGCCAAATTTTTCCTTAAAACTTCATCCTTTGGGCAAAGTATCACAGGAAGAAATATTCTACATCAAAATTTAATGTAAGTCCATGAACAACATAAATGTATACTTAACATGTTCCATTAAAAATTTGTCATCAATTCAGGGTTTATAAAAACGTTTTTGTATATTCGACAATTTAGCACTTTTTCGAATTCACTAACAGCTAAAATTTTCAAGTGGATTTAATAGTACTCGGTTTGTAGATCGAACCCCTTAAAGACTTTCGGTACCTGTAATAGTAGAATTTTATAAAAAATTATTTTTATAATATTCTGACCTTCCAAGATTCCATTTTTCATATTTTAATAAAAGGACTTCAAAAGGCATCATGATTTTAAAACTTCCTACCAAAATAATCTTCGTATTATTATCAATAATATTGAATGCCCTGTTGCCAAGAAATCTTAATTCGAAAATATCAACAGATTAGGAAAAGGGGACCATTTGGGTTAGTTTTCGATATAAGCTTTAAAAACATCGATACACATGTCGTTTATTTTTATACCCTCCACATCGAAAAGGAGAGTATATTCAACATTTAGCAGAACAATTTGTATCGTGTCTAGGATGGTTGGTATTGAAAATGATATGTATCGGTCCACGTTTAGGTATAACCGCCTTATGATGATTTTTGCCACATTTTTTTTACAGATTTGTCTTTGTCTTTATTTGTAGGTCATAATGGGTTCTAGAACCGGTGGCGAAAAAGGACATGGGAAAAGTAAGAATAACATAACAACCTTTAATCCACATCCATAATACCGAATGTTCTAATCTGATAAATACATAGGAAGAATCGAGGAACTTATTATATTTTATATTTTGAAGTGATTATTCAAGAAAGCAGTCTAAGTTTTTAGCAGCATTCAGAGACATAGTTAAGGCTCTTGATTTTCGAAATTGATACATACCCACAATAATGATGAGATCTGAAACAAAATAAAATATGCATTTATCACATTCTTTTAACAAATATTGTAATTATTAGAACAACATAAAATATTATAATTTATATTAATTAAATAATTGATATTATTATTTTTGATATAAGTAGTAGTAGTAGTAGTATTTCATCTAAATAAAATGATGAGTATGGTTATTCCAAATAATATATATATATATATATATATATATATACACCATTCAACGTAAGTAAACTTTTCTTATTAACTGTGCTATAATAGCCTAAAAAGATTAACACCAACACTTACACATCCATTGTGCGGACTAGAGAAGAATGGGCATTTTTGTCTCAAGGCTATTGAAGTTTTACGAAGAATCGCTTCAAATCGTTTGAAGTGTTCAGCCTATTTGCGGTCAATGTTTGCTTACCAATTCTAAGTGGATTTATTTGAGCCAATGAACACAACAACGAAACATAATTCACAGAATCCAGGCACTCGGAGAATAGCGATCTGTGGTGATTGATGGTGCTTGTTGTGCAAAATAGAGCAAAAGGTAAAAGTGAATATCATAGGGTTGGTTGGTACTTTAGCAGCGAACATGATAATTTATTGAAGAAATCAATATTGAAAAGGAACGACGGGTAATAAGTAGGACAAGGGGTCCAATTATCGTTGAAACGCCGTCGTCAAGTGGTTATTGTGGATGCTCATTGCGTTTCCAAATCAATGGTAATTGCATACAACAACCGTTACGTATTTTATCTATCGCATTTCCACAATTACGCTCTGGTGCGCCGCTGTCATTGCCTGGCACGGTAATTGAATTTGTTTGCCATTTGGACAGACACGGAGTGGGTTGTGGGAACAGCAGGACCGTAAAATCCCAATGCCTACTTAAATCAATGAATAAAAAAGGGTTCTTCCTTTCGTTGAAAACATCAATTTTATGATTTCTTAGTTTGAAAATAATAAAGCTTTCGAATCCTGCTATTCTTCGTATTTGGTCGGGATATCATTCCTTTTTCGTTGTTTAGTTGATGTTTTAGATGAAGGGGTTGGGCAGCCCATAAAAGACACATCAGCATTTTTTGTTTATTTTAATACTTCGTTTGAGTTTTATTATTATATCGACGGAATGTTCGTTTTGTTTTGTTAGCAGCCATTTTATGCTTCTAATAGAAATATGGCCAACCGCACTTAGAATATTGTGGCCTAGCATAACCAAATCTCATAAAATGGGTAATACTTTACGATTCGATGTTGTGAACTTATTTTTAAGGTATGCTTACATGGAATTTGTTGTTTTTTTATTGTATTTATGTTATCGTTTTACTAGGTCGAGCATGACATGTGAGGATGAAAACAGGCTGACTATAAATATGTAATAAATAAATTCTATGTATTTTTCACACATTTTATAATATTGTAAAAAGATAAAATTGATATTTTTACGCAATCGAAATTAAACAAATCTCAGGTCATCTAGAATTGTGTTATCATAGTAGTCATATATATTAGATACAAATTGACCTTTTCCCTTGTTATACCCTCCACCATAGTATGGAGGGTATATTAAGTTTGTCATTCCGTTTGTAACACCTCGAAATGTACATTTTAGACCCCACAAAGTATAAATATTCTTGATTAGCATACAATTCTATGCCGATTTGTCCGTGTGTGGAAATCACTCTCGCTTCCGAACAAAATTAAGTAGGTTGATAAAATTTTACTCAAATGTGTGTGTTTGGTCATGTAGGACCACGTTTTGGTATGGCCCCCATATCCCTTTATCGCTATTATGGTGATTTAAGCGACATTATTTACCAGAATTGCTTCAAATTAGATGTTTGAAGTTTATAATGGATACTACAGTCTAAGATGGAAAATTGTCTGTGCAGGTCCACGGCTCCCGATATTCGGTGTTTTGATGATTTTAGCGTCATTATTCTCAGATATTGTTTCCAATTTGGTGTTTGAAGTCCGTATTGAATGCTACGGCCTAAAATAGAAAATTGTCTGTGCAGGTCCCCGTCTTCGTATAACCCCCATATAAAGGTACCTCCCGAAATTCGGTATTTTCATGAATTTAGCGACATTATCTACCGAAATTGTTTCAAATTTGGTATTTGAAGTTCGTACTGGATACTACAGCCTATGACAGAAAATTGTCGGTGCAGGTTCACGTCTTCGTATAGCCCCAATATAACGGTACCTCCCTATATTCGGTATTTTGATGATTTTAGCTACATTATTCACCGAATTTTTATTTGAAGTTTCGCATTTGAATATTGTAATGGCTTATGACAGTAGTTGCCCATGTACGTCCACGACGACGTATGGATCCTAATAATACGGCTACATTCGGTAGTTCTAAGATTTTAACAGATTTTTTTTTATATCAAATTCGTTCTAAATTGTGGAGGGTATTCAAAGATCGGTCAGACCAAACTTACACCTCTTTTACTTGTTTTCATTGTACAAAACAATCACATTTAAAAACTTACAGTACAATACCAAAATAAAAAAATTCAATTTTCCATGTGTTTTTAATGTGTAAATGCTGTATGTTTTTATATGTATTGTTGTGGAAAATAAAGCTATATTAAATTTCTTGAAAACCCAAATTTTAAATCATATGAATGTGACACTCGATCATCTTAAAAAAAACGGGATATTCCATTTATGTTCCCATTATTTAATTGTAGAATAAACAAAAGACCTTCCAGCATGAATTATAAATTTTTTGTCATAGGAGTTATTTTAAAATAATTTCTGTGGAGAATATCCCAGACAAAAAGCAAGGGAACTGATGAGGATTGGTGGCTCTTTCCGAAACCTAGGTATTCCCTTCCTTACCCCCTGTTAAACATTACCATCGTTCTACACTAATAAACAAACGTTGTTTTTTAAAAACAACAATAATGGGATTAATCCTAACTATTTTGCAACAACAATGTATACAATAGGTAGAGGCACACTAACCGAGCCATATTTTTGTACCTTCAGACGAATATCATTTGATACAGCCAAAATGTGCCTTATAGTCTTTGAACGAAACTATCTGTCTGATTGGTTAGTGAATACAACAACTCACGAAGGGAGTATCCGATTTGGTTGAATCTTTTCATATTGTAATACATCTGTATCGATGTGGGTCATAAATTGTATCAAAAGAGATAAAACATTTTGAATACTTATAACCTTAGCTAATTTATGAATGACTAAATATGAAATAGAGAAGTGTTCTGTTTGTCGTTGATGAGCTTGTTTCGCTTTCGTTTTCCACGTGAAATTTTAGATCATCAAATCCGATTTTGAAAAAAACATAGCCTCGAACTAATGTTTTTTTTTTTTTATCTCAGTTAAAGCGTGTTAGAATACAAATCGCTCTGTGTCGGAAAAGTAGTGGTACGGGTTATAGAGACTCAAACTGTTATACAACAAAAATGTGTATTCAATGATCAATGATTCGGTTTGAGCTATAACCACAGGAATACAAAAAAAAGTCTGTCCGTTTGTATCAATGTACATCATCAATACAATTGACTCAATTTTAAAAAAGACCATTTTTAATAGATAAGTCAGTTATTTTTGCTATATTCCAACTTAAATTGTTTATGTTGTACATTTTTCTTTCCCATTGATAATGATTCTTATTCAAGACAGAAAAAAAAATATAAACAAGGCACATAGTTTTATATTTGTTTCACATCTCCCTCTACATGTTTTGCAGTGAACACACTCTACGTCAATACCAATGCTATCAACTTATTTTCCTTTTTCTTAACTTTTAATAAAATATTACCATTTTTTTTAATTCTCTCATCGTTAAGAAGTATTCAATGGCATTTTATTATTTGGCATTCCAACTCGCAATAGCGATTATATAAAATATTTTCGCTTTCATTGTAAATTGGGTTGTTGTGTCAAAACTAAGAACTTTTCTCTTACAGTGCGACGTAACTGTAAACTATAGCCGCATTCAAAATACATGATTGCGTAGTTAAAAGTTTGTTCGTTAAGCTGAAAGCAACGACTAAAAATCGATTGAAACAAGTTTGGCGGTTCACATTTTTACAAAATAAAACTTGAAATCTGCCAAAAATTGCTCCGTATGAAAGAAGTAGCTAAAACTGTGCTTTAAGTGATTTGCAAGTGTTCGGCATTTCATTTTCGAACAATTGTATGTTGCATCAAAAATTTCCACAAAATCGAAGCCAAATCCTTGCGACACAAAGCGGAAGTTTGACAAAAACAAGCAAAGAATTGAAATGCCTCAAAGCACAAATTCGAATGGAATACAATGCAGACATATCCCATAGCTATGCACTTTTTCGCACACGTCTGTACATACATACGTATCACAATGCATAAGTAAATCCACCTACCATAGAGTGATTCAAGAAATGTGAATTAACTCGGAATAAATGTCAGTTGGATGTCCGTAGGTATCTTACCGGGTTGTGTAGAGTATGAGAACTATTGCAAGGCTACAAATGCATTGAGGGAAGCACCATTAGTTCATTAAATCTAGATTAGCAGGATTCATTTTAAATTAATACTGATTCGGGGTCTTTGGATATGGACAACCTATTTCTTTGGATGTAGGTTTGATTCTCTTTTCGTCCCGACTGGACCAAATGTAGAAAGGCGAGAAAGGAAGACAACCTTATGCTTCGATTCTCTATCCGGCTCGATTGGACCAAATGTCGAGATGAGATGGAAAGAACACCCGTCTCGTTTGGGTGTAGATGAAATTCTCTATCCGGCTCGAAGGACCAAATGTATAAAGGCGAGAAGGGAAATAACGACCCTATTCTTTGGATGTAGTTTCGTTTCTAGTTTTTATTTAAAAAATATTTTTCTTAAGTACTACAAAAACTAATATAACTTAATCTAACAGACATTATCGTATGCGGTACCGCTCAAGATTTTTAATTGTTAAATTTACCCAGCGCCTCGCCCGCGCTCAAAAGTATGCACAAAGTATTTTGTACAGTAGCCATCCTAATACAAATCCTAGT